GACAACTGAATGTCCTTATCTAAAGGCAAGACATCGTGTCTCATGGTATCTCCGGGGTTATCCACGATGTTGCCAAGCGGCTCTGAATCCTCCTCCGACGTTATCGTCATGACGACTGTCTGCTCCATGTTCCCAAGACTGTCCTCAGAGGACGACATCATGGCCATGTGTGAAATGTCCTGTGAGTGGTCAGCCAGGTCTGGTACCAAGACTATAGATTCAGCTGTAGATTCCTCGGGGGCTTATTTGGATAATGCGCAGGCTTGAGCGTACAGTCGTAGCTGTGCAAGATGGTGGTGCAGCAGCTGGGTGTGCTCCTCAGACATGTGTTGCAGTAACTCTTGCAAAATGGACTGGTTCTCGCTGTCGTTGGTCAGACGTTTCAAACTGGACGTGTGCATCATGGACAGCTGCTGCTTGAGTGACGTGTTTGTGTTGGACAAATACTCAACCTGGAGGGCAAGAAGGATGGGCAGAGAAAGTATTTGTTTACAGATGGAATTTTAATAGACCAATCCATTAGGCTCTGCCCCATGATGTGTAACCAATCACAACCATGACAGCGCACACCAAAGTCCGACATTTATGCACTTCATGATGTGTGCAGTTGGAGCATGAATGCTTAAGAAGGCACATGTGTTGTTGCCCAGTTATTTAGTGCAACTAGAGTATGAGTGAAACCACGAATCCTCTACACAAGGATAAACGACACATCTGAGCTTGTGTACAAAATGTGTGGAATGGTTTGTCTGCATTTATCATAAGCAGCGTCAGCGCATAGAACAACGTAGAACGTGTAGAAAATGTAGAGCAATGACAACAACAGTGCACACCATGATCGCCCACAGCCATGACAGCTGGCTTTCTGACAGGAATCTGACCACTGAAAGAACGCAGTCGCATTAGTGTGCCTGCATGAGTTCTGATCAAGGTATGTCCCCCCTCCCACTTTTAAGAAGCGATTGACGCCCTTGGTACCTGTTGCATGCAGGGAACAAGATCCAAACTCATTCTTAGACCAAGACCAGATGGAATGCCCACTCACCTTTGTACGAAGCCTTTTCTATAGTGCCTTTCATCCTGTGCTCTGTCTGGGCCCACGTGGTCCGCTCCTCCTCGAGAGTCTTCTCCAGACTTTCCTTCTCCTGCAGCAGCAGCGACAAGTTGTGCTCTGTGTAGCAAGTCTCGTCCTCCAAATCCTCTTTGCTTCCTTCATCTGGTATTTCAATAAGGACAACTGTTTACGAGAGGGAAAGGTTGAGTAATTATCCTGAATAATGATTCCTGTAATAATGAAAGTCGGTCATCAAAAGGTCACTCCAGGTGTGGGCTACACAAAGAGGGGAAATGATGGGAGGAGTTTATGGAGTAGAAAGGTCGACATATATGTTGCGCTTGAATGGGACAGATGATATGTAGCGGTAAAAACAGGATACAGGCAAGAAAGTCCAAAGTGATGCAGTGTGTCAAGAACATGTAATTCCTTGTAACTGGGTGCAAGCAATCACTCACTTTTTCAAACCGTATTCCTAACATTAGGTGGGCAAGGTGAAGGACAAATGCCAATATTTAATTAATTGTTGAAGTCAGCTCTCAAAATGTACTGCCACCCTGACTTATTAGATTTTTTTTGTTGCTTAGAACCTTCCTGAATCCTCCAAAATTCAATCAACTTAAATAACGCCAATGGCACACCCTTTGCACCTTGTAATTTCAATTTGTAAAATCCACTGTCAATATTGGCCCTCATCCACCCCAACCCCCTAAAAAAATGCTGAACTTTTGGTTGTTGTTTTATTTATTTTATTGACCAAACAAGTGCAGGAGTGAAGACAACTGTATTAAACATGCTGTTGTCTACCCATTCCCTTCTTCCATATGGATTCACGATATATCAATTGAAAACAAAGTGGGGGGGGGGGGGGGGGGAAGAGTTCTTCCTTGCATCAAATGCCTCCCCCTTGGCTTTTTGGTCAGCTTCTTCTAATTATCCTTCACTGCTGGTGGCATTATCCACCTTAACCTCTGCGTAGATGCTGAAGGATTCTTGGAGGGTCAGGGTTAATATTCTTACCATCTTACCTTCCCCATTGGCAGTGCTCTGACTCGGATCATTGATGCAGGCATACTGGTACTCGATCTGCGGCTGCTGCCCATCAGTCTGCTCATAGCCCCGGGGATGATGTGTCTGTCTCCGATGGCTGCTGTGACTGGGGGACTATGAGGTGTGTTACCAGGCTGGTACTGTTGGGTGCTGGGTCAGTGTATGTGGTGAAGATCTGGTTGACATCCTGGGTAAAAATGGTGGAGTGCAGTCGTTAAGGTTGATAAAATGAGACTTAAACCTGTAAGGTAGCAAAAGATTCAATTTACGACACAAACATACAGTGATAAAATTAGGTTCACAATTAATTATTTTAAAAGGCACGAAGTGTTGGCATTTGACATAATCCACCCAAGTCCTTGTAGAACTACCACACCTGCTCACAAGGTACATAAATTTCAACTGATTAAATTTATTCCATGGTTTTTTTTTCATGCAGATTGTACAAGGGGACCATTACATCACAGCAACGGCATACTCAGTTGTCTTGAAGCAGCACTGAAACTGTGAAGGTTAAAAATAAGTGCGCTTTCAAACACTTAAACCAAAAAGGTGTGTCTAATCATTCTCAAAAGAATGGATACTTGAGTCAAAACTTTTCGGTAAAAAAAACCCAGATTTTGTTCAACAAGTTCACTTCATGCTTTTTTGAAACACCCCTCTACAGGGAGTTTATCGAACACTGATATCTGCTAAGAATAACCAGCCCAGGTATCTGTCAATTTCATAAAACTCCCACAAATGCCACTACCTTGTCCTGCTGTCCACTACCTTCAACTTATCTTTATAATTAACCCTAACCCTGCCACATGCAGCACAGTGCGCATCAGTTGGAAAAGTCTGGTGCACTTGGTCTTGTTCCCAAACTCACCCCCAAAGTTGATGCCTTTATCCACGTACTTGACCCTGTACGTAGTGCGCCTTGAGGAGAATCTCCTCAGTGAAGAGACTGTCCTGGGAGCAGAATGGACAGTGCAGATGCGGAGCCTTCATCAAGGAGTGGCTACACTCCCTGTCTGTGCATTGTATGGGCGTCCAGTCTGCCTCAGCGCCTTTCGTCTGCACTGATGGATGCGCCTACAGTTGCGAAAAAAACAATTGAGAAAAACTGTCAAGTTAACATGTATGATGTCAAAAAAATGTTATAAAATGGCTACGCCAATGAAATCAGTAGAAATCTCATTTTCTACTCAAATCCAAATCTTCACAGCAGTTTTCAAAGTGGCAGTTCATAAAAACCAGGCATAAAACATTTAACAAAGAAACCACTCGCAGATGGGATCTCTTTTGAGGCGGTGGAAGAGGTTTTAGAAGGCTTTCTTGGAGAGCCAACAGTCACCTCGGAAAGAATGTTGCAACCTGACGCTACTTCTGCAGTTGTGTACAAAGTCTATGGAGAGTCAAGATATTTTTTAAGTATTTCCTAACAAAATTGGAAATGTTTCTCAGTCCAAGATTCATGTCTTATCAATATATCATCATTTTTGCAATTACTGACCTTCACTGAGATGATATACGAAGGAAAAAGCAGCGTTAGGTGGCAACATTCCGTCACCTCTGATGCTGATTAACTACATAGAAAAATAATTTGAACAATATCGAACGTCAAGGAAGCACCAAGAACGTCATCGTCTGCAGATGAGTCAAATTGGCTGCCACGAAAGTCTCCATTGTGTCCCACTTCCTAAACCAATGTGGATTTGTCATCCGACATTGTTATTAAATGCGCGTTTGTTTATATATGAAATAAATGAATTTCTTTCCATTTTGGTAAAAACAACTGCATGCATAATATTTATAATCATATCATAATTGAAAATAGGAGGTAGATAAAATAAATCCACAAATATTATAATATACTTTTGTCGAAAGTCTAAGAAGCTTAGTTAAATCCTATGCATGGAAAGAGTTCCGAGAATGTTTTGCTGAAAATCATCCGTGTGCCAATTACATAACATTTTACAAATGTATACAGATTCTCCCAAAATAGAAACATTTGCAATATAACTTTAGTATGCCGTTGCTATATTTTTAAAGTTTAGTCGGACTCCCTATTATCGCAGCATCCCTATTATCGCGGAATGGGAAATTTCTCTTTTTGTGTTGCCTAAACTCCTTCAAGTGTCTTTCTAGTTTTGTTTTGACTACTTTAGGTATCTTAATTATTTGTGAGTTGTTGCTTCACCACTGTAGCGAACCAGGTTGGCAGTGAAATGCAGTAATAATAGGTGAGCTACAGTGACGCTGTGTTTAATCAATTTAAATTTTTCGGCAGTCTTTTTTTATTATTCTTTACTTCGTGTGAAACAAATATCAACCTCATTTATATTTCATAGGTAAAAATACTGTCCAAAGTATCTCAACAGTTTTTAGACAAAGGTCTGTTAATAATTATTTCTATTGGCAAAGTTATAGCCACAAAAAACATTTCATTTAGTGTTTACTTACATATGCACCCGTCACTGGAAACATTTAAGCATATAGTTCCCTCCAGCATTCGAAGTAGAATTCAATATTTTGTGTCGCTCCTGTACGGTGGGGTTCAACACTGCTATATTATTACTTTTTTATTAGTATAGATATAGGCCTAGTTTGATGCTCCCGGGGATTTGTAAAATGTCCAACATAATATTTGCACATAGCCCCTCTCTAGCTCTATTGACGCTCCTTCGACTTTCATTACCTTGGTGAAGAGCCACTCAAACTGGTCAAGGGGAAAAACTGGAAAACTAGTGTTCAGCGTAAACAGCTCATTTATTTCCCTTAAAGCCATTTCTCCCTGTGGAAACTTACTTGAGTTGCGTAAACAGCGCCGGCCTAGCCCTCCAGAAAAAAAAGAGAACATGGGTTTAAAGAGTTTGTAAAAATTCGATTCATTCCCTGCTGCGGCTTCGTCTACTATAAAAATTTAAGAAGATTATGAAATTTCCACACAGCTACCCAGAAAGCGTGAGTTGTCAAATAATAATAGACAAATAAATATTGTTGAGCTTCCGTTATGGAAGACGTATGCGTCTCGTTAAAAAAAAAGGATACCAGTTCAATATATGAAGCTGAAGCAGTAGGGACCTGCGATGGAGGCCGATGTTTCGAAAGAGCTTGCATGCCAATCGAACGACACATGAGGGCAGCATTCAACAACATAAACACGCGACTGTAAATCTGGCGCTATCTTCCGAGTGGCCGAAACCTGTTGCCTGTGTCACTTTCTTGGTCAGTATCAGTAGATAATTTTATCTAACCATTTAATAAATGATAACATTAATTTAGTTGTTTATATTAGCTATTGGTGAAATCTGCATTATTTTATTTAGTGAAACTGAAACGTACTGCAAAAAGTGGCCATATCGGACATGATACTTTGAGTTTGATAGACGTACTGCGTTTATTATTTGTATTCAATAGCGTGGTATCTCATTCGTGAAAAGTTTGAGATGCTTAATTAACAATAACAATTAACATTAAAGGAAAGATTCCCATATCTGGCCATCACTTGCCACCCTGTGCACAAACCCTTTGAGACTGGTCTGAAAATTTTTAAGTGTTTTCTCAGTTGAGTTAGCTGGAGTTACCCAGCACCTAATTGGGTATCATTGGGTTGTCATCTAGATGACAACCCAATGATAAAATGTAGGGCTTGGTAACTCCAGCTACAGTTGAGTTAATACTTCGGCCATTGTGAAGTGCAGGGCCCAGTTCCTATAACTTGGGGAACAAAATCCACTTAAAAATTATTTGACCTACCATAATAGTTTGCAACATTCTCAATAAACAGGTTTGTCATAGATAGAGGGCAGGGTTTTGACGTTTTGAGGGAAATTTGGGGGTAAAATGACAATGACGGCGCGGCGACAACATGCGACCCGAAATTTGAGATGGCAATCACCGCGCGATGTTCCGTGAGCATGCATAGCGCGCTGAATCCCAAGGTACAAACCGCGCAGGAAAACCGTGATTTCTACCCCAAGAATCTGTTCAAAATTGTAAAATGGGTGTTATTAGAATTGAGAAAAGGCTGCTTTTGATTGTAAAGGTGAGTTTTGAGCAATAAAAAACATTTTCGATTCTAATTTGATCAAAACAAAACGGGGGCCCTACACTTCACGATCACCGTAATTTTTCCCTTAAATGACCTATCAGCCATCAGAAAATGATATGTCCTAAAAAGTCAAAATTAGCAGGGACAAATTTTGACCCCTCCCCCTAGATATCCCACTGGTCATGGCTTGCAATAGTATACAACTGCTTTATGTCAGTTTCTTTATATTTCCAGTGTGTTTTTGGTCCAACGTAATAACACCAAAATGGATGAGAAGCAGGGACCAACTTCTGATGATGTCCCAACTGGGGAGGTAACGTCAACCACAGTTACAGAGGGTGATGTTGTCAAGATGCCAACAGATGTGGCCATCACTATGGATGCTATTCCCAATGAAGATGAGGAGGACAAATCCAAAGGTGACTTGTTATTCTTTTACTTGGTGAAGACGTTTGCTCCTTTGCCAGGTCAGCTACAAAAGTGTAATCCCATTCATGTGATTTTGTCCATTCTTGCTTATTGGAAACTTAATACTTTAACCCAGTGAAATTAATTTTGCTGCAAGATAGTTTTGTTGCTTTCCAGGTAATTTTTATAAATTGGGGGAATGAGGGTTCAATTTCATAAAAAAATTGCACCTTTACTTGGTACCCATACTTGGTGGTTATCCTGAATACTCCACGTGGAAGTCTAGCAAGGAGGCTTTGGGGAAGTGGAACTAAATTAAATCCTTAAAGGTGTTGTGGTTTGGGGCGTCTGTGGTGTCTTGAGGGAGCTTGTTCCATTTCCGGATAGTTCTTGGTAGGAATGACTGCATATAGATGTCTGTCCTTGCTACAATTTCTGTGAACTGGTGGTTGTGAATTCTACGAGCCGGTGCTGGTTTGGGGACTATGGATGATGAGTTAATGTGAACTATGTTGTGTATTATTTTAGTAGGTAAGTAGGTAAGTTGGTTAACTTTCCTTCTCTCTTCCAGTGAAGACCAGCCTAGGGTTGTCAACATGTCGGTCACACTGCTCAGTCTGGAATAATCTCGCATTACGAAACGAGCAGCCCTCATCAGTTGCACTTTTTCCAGGGATGTTATGTTCTTAGCTACATGTATGTGAGGGTTCCAAGCAATGCTGCCATATTCTAGGTGTGGTCTGACTACTGCTAAGTACAGCTTTTCTTTGACTGATCTGGATGCAGAATGAAAATTTATTTTGATGAAGCTCAATATACGACTTGCTTTGGAAGTGGCATATGCTGTTTGGTGATTCCAACTTAGGTTATTCTGAATGATTATTCCCAAATATGTGATGTTGGTTTTCTCTACGAGTACGAGGTTGGATCCTAACATGGTGTAGTTAGTTTTGCCGGGGGCCCGCTGCCCGGAGATTCGCATGATGTTACATTTGCTGGAGTTAAATTTCATTCCCCAGGTTTGCGCCCAGTGAGCCAAGTTGTCCAGGTCTTTTTGGAACATCAGTTCATCAGTTGATGAGCAGATCTTCCAATATAACAGGCAGTCGTCAGCGAAAAGGCGAGTTGTGCCAGTCACTGATTTGCTAATGTCATCGATGAAAAGTAAAAACCGATGGGGGCCAAGCACGGTGCCTTGTGGTACGCCACTGTCGACACTTTGCCATTTCAAAGATTTTCCATTTACCACAACTCATTGTGACCTGTTGGTTAAGAATTCCCTGATCCATCTCTGTGTTTTTCCCCTTATCCCGTAGTAGTCTAATGTTTGGACCAGTTTTTGATGAGAAACTATGTCGAATGCTTTGGAGAAGTCAAGTACTGCCATGTCTGTGGTGATTTGATTATTGTAATTGTAGGAGATGTCATCCAGAGTTGTTACGAGTTGGGATTTGCAGGACAGGCCTTTACGAAAAGCATGTTGGTTTTCGTTCAGGATGTCGTGTTCCTGGAGGTGTTTCATTTATTGGCTATCAATGATGTGCTCTAATAACTTAAAGCAAACAGAGGTCAACGACACAGGTCTGTAGTTTGCCGGGTCTGCACGAGAGCCTTTCTTAAAAATGGGTGTTACGTTGGCTTTCTTCTAGTCATATGGTAGAGAACCCAGCAGGTCAAGTGATTGTTGGAATATGAATGCGAGTACATGGGCAACTTCATTGGCAGCTAGTTTCAAGTTGAGCGACGTCAGTAACTTGAGGACTCCGCTAACAGACACGGTGATGTTTGTCAAGTCTGGGTAGGGACTCGGTGGTAGAACTGGCTGCACATCGGTGTCATCCCTGCTGAAAACACTACAGAATTGGTCTTGTAGGGTTTCAGCTTTTTCTTGGTCAGATGTGATATTTTTCCCGTTGAGTTTTAGAACCTGAACCCCTGTGTTGTCTTTACGAGTGCTGTTTACGTAGCGCCAAAATTTCTGGGGGTTACCTGTAGATGTAGTTTCTTGTAAATGTGTGCGTTTAGCCCTTTGGATTTCGCTGTTCACTTGCTTTTACAAAAATTTGAATGTAGACCGCTTGTTACTGCCTTCACATAGCTGCGCTCTTTCTTCCTGCAGCTCATTGGAAGTGTGACATTGGGTTTTACACTGTGTCAATGTTACATCCACACAACCAAGCTATCATTTCTGATCCATTTGATACCTGACTACCGTAACAAAAGCTTTTTTTATTGTGTTGCATGTATAGTAAGAAGTAAGCAAAGTGAATTTGTGTGATGTTTCGCAGAAATTTAAAAAAAAGGTACAAATGTCACATTTGGACGTACATGTAACACTGACACTGTGTCAATGTTACATCCAAAATGACATTTTTGGCTCATATTTTTGGCAAAATACATTGAAATCATTTCAAACTTTCTGCAGTCTTGAAACATCCAACAACAAATATTATGTAGAGCTAGCAAAGCATTTATGCTTTTGTTAATATGGTCATATGTCACACATTGTTCCCCAACCTGGTGGAATGACCCTTTTGCAAAAGTTTGAATGTAGACTGCTTGTTACTGCCTTCACATAGCTGCGCTCTTTCTTCCTGCAGCAACAGATTAGGACAGTTGTGAGCCATGAGGTTCTAGAATGTCCCTGGACTGGTTTTTGTGCTACTAATTCGTTAGTTTTCAGCCTGTCCCTAAAAATACTCCAATTTGCCTGTTTCAACTGTTCTGGTTTCTGGAGATGACTGCATGAATTCGGTCTTAAGCTCGAGGACAGATTTTTTTCAGCTTGGATTCATCCACGTCATTCCACTTGAAGATGGTCCTAGGGGGCTTGACAGAGCGAGGTGCGGTGATGTTTGTCAGCTAACACTGTTGCGTGATCGCTAATTCCGGAGTTGCTGTAAACATTACAAACCAGAGTTTTACGTGTGGTGAAGAGCAAATCTAAGATGTTATCTGTTCCTGTAACTAGGTCTCTCCTTGTAGTAAAGTTTGCCTTTTGTTCGAGATTGTAGTCATCTGCAATGTTGATAATTTTGGATTGAATACCGTTTGCCGAGAAAGTACATGTACCAGTCCTTGAGTTCCAAAGCATGCCCGGGATGTTGAAGTTTCCTCCAAGAATGATGAATGGGGAGTTTACCTGAGCCTGCAATTTACTCAGACTTCTGTCTAGGTTTTCTAGAGATTCTGGCCTGTAGGAGTCGGGGGCTCTATAATATGCAGAGATGAAGATGTCCTCTCCTTTCGGCTTGAGCGGTAGTTGGCACCAGAGTAATTCACAACCATCTTCAGAAAGTTCAATGGCTGAGAAACCATCCTTAACCAAGATAAAGACACCTCCGCCACGTCTGTCGTTTCCTCTGTCTTTGAACCTTTGTTCAACTGTCAAACTTGTGAATTTCTGATGAATGAATGCAAAGTTTAAAAAGCCATTCATATCTTAAAACATTTATTCTTTTATAAAGCCCTGTCCGCACTGGACTTTTTTGGGTCAAACTTACCGAGACTATGGGTACTTTTTCCGTTTTAAGTCCAGTGCGGACAACCTAGGACGTTTTCCTCTCAGTTACTTTTCCTGAGTCCAGCGGTTACTTTTACTGGCCAATTGCTGCCCAGGAAAACTGACCACGCGCCCAGGAAAATTGACCAGGTCACTTTTCCCGAGACGATAAGTCCATTGCGGACAGTGCGAGTCGGTAAAAGCGGCTCAGGAAAGTGAGATCCGGCCCGAGTACGAGTATCATGCATACAGAGACCGCACGATCCCACACGTGATGTGGCCGAACATTTTGTGGAAACACGTACCGGTACGCTGCGGTGTGTCAAGTCCGAGCGGTAAAATCTTGTTATAAATATATTTTAACGGAGAATCCATTCACAGAAAATATCAAGATCACGTTCTGGGAAATACTTTGCAGTTATTCTTTTTCTCCACCAATGTTTGTTTTGTATTTTCTACGATCCAAATTCGTCGTGTTACGCCGTGTAGTCTGCATGGCACCGAACGTAGGCCGCAGTCCCTGGTTCCGGTCCTACATCATAGCTTTGATTCTGTTAGCATGCGGTGGGAACCAGCGATTACCGATGGAACTGCTGCCGCATGGCTTCGATGTCGTCCATCACAAATGTGTCAGAATAGTAGGCATTTTCGTCAAGATTTATCGTGTCAAGATGAAATAACATCGTATGTTACGATTATATTGTGCATTTTAATGGTGTGTGTAATATTATACTGTGCGTATCGGGGGCTGAATAAAAAATATGATCGGCATTTTATTTCCTGTGCACGTGACTGTGACAGCTCGGTCACTTCTCCCACGCGGTCTGGGTAAAATTTCCCGTGTCGAAAGTCCAAGTGCGGACGGTGGTCACATTTGACCATTTCTCATTTTACCATCATCTCGGTAAAACCTTCCAAAAAAAAAAGTCCAGTGCGGACACGGCTTAAGATGGAATTTTGCGTCGGGGTGATGTAAATCAAATTGGGTTTTGCCCTTCACCGACTATCCATTTTATGAATAGTTAATGCAGTACCCGCTGCTATGTATATCAGATTTGAACCAACCAGCTCGGTGGTCGAGTGGTAAGATGTCTGCACTAGAAAGCAGGAGGTTGTGGGTTTGAGTCCCACCCGAGTGATTTTTTCCAACTTTTACTCGGGAGGTACCACACTGAGTATACAGTGTTTATACATCGGTGAAGGGCAAAACCTAATTTGATTCATTCTTTTGTTGATTAATACAAAGCCCATTAAAAAAGGCAAATAAAAATATCAAAATATTATGAGGCATCAATAAAGTATCAAGTATTAGAAAGGCATACTAGTTCAAATACCAGAATGGTGATAATACATAGCATTATTTGTGCTTGGCAGTTTTGAATTACGCAAACAAAAACAGCAGCTTGTAGAAATTGGTCATTTTTGGGAACCATACAAATCAAGATATTTATATAAAGGCTTATCTCTAACTTTACAAAGAGGTTCATATTTTAAAGTATTAATTTTTTT